AATTAGTTGAATTCGAAAGAACACCAGTGGAATTTTGTGGTATTTCGAGGAATTATACAGTACTTATTCCCGCCGGGGTCTCTAAGAGGTACACCATACACACAATAATATTGTTATGAATTCAAATTTTACACAATATACGACATTACCAATAAAATAACGAATAATTCCTTTTTTAACAGACGATATGTCTGTAGGAGAGTTTTAACCTCGATTGCTTTTGTGTGAGAAAAGTGAGTTTTTGAAAGTGAAAAGATGTTTTTGGATATTGCTGTTACAATGACTGGCAAATTGAAGATGTATTTCATGAGCGGGTGCACTTTTTTCTTGTTTTGTTTATTTGTGCTTAGCATTATTTATTGTAGATTTCCAAAAATCCCTCAAATGCATTGGATGGTTTGCATTATATATTATTCAGTAGAAATACTAAAAGGATGTCGAACTTCCATTGTCTTTATTTTTAACTTATACAACGTTTCGGGTAGTTGTATCACTACCCGTTATCAAGTGTAAACTAAACTTAATTCTAAGGCTACAAGTTTTATATACTAGGCGACGGCGCTCAACCATGACGGAGTCGGGTGTAGTCAAGCGTGATGTTGTTCAACTAGAACGCCAGCATTAGTGCGCCTTATTAGAGGTTGCCAAATTGTTGGTATATCCACGCTTGGATTGCTGAAGATGTTTTCATTGTTTCTAATGAAAACTGCTTCTTTAAATTTGCGCTTTCTCCAATGCTGCTCTCTGTGAATAACCCGCGCTCTGGACCATTGGAAGTTGTGTTGCTTGGTCCACACATGTTCTGCGATACCTGATTTTTGTATTTCACCCCTGATTGTATAATTCTTATGTTTTTCAACTCTTATTTTTAGAGGTCGTTTGGTTTCGCCAATATATGACTCTCCGCATTCACAGGGTATCTGGTAGATATACTCTTTCTCTTGAGTCGACGTTGCAGGCTTTGTTTTTGTGAGTACACTTCTTAATGTTGATCCAGATTTAAATACAGTTTTAATTTGATATTGATATTGTTTAGCTATTCGCCTAATCTTTTCTTATATTCCTTTCACGTATGCGATCGTCAAGAGAGAAAGAGTATCTACCTCACATGGTTCCGGTGTTGTTTCCCGCTTACAGTTTGTTATTATTTTGTTTATATATTTTTCGGAGTAACCATTCTGAAGCTAATCCTTTTTAATATTATTCAATTCTGCATCGAGAGATGCTTGGTCGCTACATATTGTGATTGCTCTTTTGCACAGTGTCTTAATTATTCCTAGTTTGGTTGCTTCAGAATGGTTAGACCCAAAATTTAGATACTGTGCTGTGTGGGTAGGTTTCCTATATACAGACGTGTTAATAGAACCATTATTTCTACTTATTAGGACATCTAGAAACCGTAGACAGCCGTTCTTTTCTTTCTCCATAGTAAATTTAATTGATGTTCGCAAAGGATTCAGATGATGGAGAAAAGAGTCTAGCTGTCTATCGGTTCCACTCCAGATAATGAGGGTATCGTCAACATATCGAAGCCAGATCTTAGGTTTAATAGTTGCAGTGTTTATGGCATGAGTTATCGAACGATTCCTCCAAGGGCACGTTGGTATATAGACTTTCAACGTCAAAGCAAATAAACTTGTCTGAAGGATCTAGTTTCACGTTTTACCTATAAGTGGCTGGACGATTTGAAGGAGAAATCTACTTAAGCTGCTGGCTGCAAAATCCCTTGAGCTAGTGATCGGTCTGAGTGGTATATTATCTTTATGGGATTTTTGGAAGTCCATAAAGATGTGGTGGTTTGGTGTGATGTGGAGTTAACGTGGTCCTAATGTTATCCGGAATATAGTGTCTGTATTTATGGAGAGATTGGTAGATTTTTCCTTCAATCGTCTTAGTAGGGTCACTATACTAGTAATGTTATTATGAAATATTTAATATTGTACATTATAAATCACACCAATGATTTATGGCCCTCTTGGGAATTATTTCCTTCTACCTTACGTACCATATTTAGTAAACACTCCTCACCTCATTCGTTCCATTCCTAAATGCATGTATTGGCATCACAATAACAACAATTTTGGACATCTGCAATTAATTCTGAAATGTGATAAAAGTGTAAAGGAGCAAATTAATATCATCACTCTGCAGAGGGTGTTATTATTATAATGGACACCCTTTAAACTCGATACGGTCTATTTCTTAAAAAGTTGTGAGAAATTCAAGTAATAAAACAGCTCAGAAGAAATAAATTCCTATTTATTCTAGAAGATTGTAATTAATGTTCTGATATTAATTACTACCTTCTAATAACAAAATTATCCCTAACTGAAATTACATGCATTGAAGACACATTAAACTAAAGTATCTGTTGCTGCAGAATATAAATCAAATTAAATTCGATCATGACATTACAATACGTAATTATCCGTTTTCTTGAGTCTTCGATGTCCCCGATAGTGTAGACCAATTCTTTTCAAGCATATAAATCTGGGAAACTTCTTATTATCCAGCGGTTTTCATACGTACTATTTAAAAACGTTATCATATTTAAGCTGATCTATACTAGGGCACTCTAATACTCTTGTAGTTAACGGGGGTACATTACCTAGTAAAGGACGTAATTCTTATACACAACAATAGCACTCACTAGTTAATCTAAAGTAGAAAACGTGACCCAATTAAAAGATCACTTCTTACCAAATGTTAACAGCAAACTGATATTGATGTCTACATTTTTGGAAAGTTTTGAATTGCATCTCTTCAGAAACTAGCTTCGTCCGAACAACAAAACTAACAAAAGTTTGAACCCTATATGTACGGATATAACTATTCTTTTAATATCATCCATACAATTAATGCATTACCATTTAATTCTGTTGCATTTTTTATTATCTAAGAATTTTCTTTATTTCGTTATGCATTGCTTTAGATTTTATTTTTTTATTTCGATATGGTAAATAATATGAAAAAATTGTTTCTAAATAAAATATAAAATAAAAAAAAAAATAATGTCATTTTATAAAAGACGCGCGCGACTGGGAACGCTAGTAGGATTCCTAACAGGACACTGCCATCTAAAAAGCCGCTCATATCATGGGGATGGAGATAACAGCACATGCAGACTAACTAGCTGTGCTTCCGCTACGGGCAACCGATTAAGAGTACAAGAAGCTAACATTTATTGAGCCTGAGGAATAGGAAAAAGTAATAAATTCTCGTTAGGTATGCAAAGGGAGTACAGAATACAACAAATTATTACTTAAGCCACTTTTATTGTTTGTCATTGATTGGGGGTTTACATAAATTTATGGATTTTGCCTATTAATATCCATTCATCAACACTGAAAATGTTGTGCCAAAGTCGAGTCGCAAAAATACTCGCAAAAAAAAAATAATTTTATTTTTAGAGAACAATATAAGGCATTATGTAACTGGTGATCCATTATAAATGTTACCCCCCTCTAAGTTTTTTATTTTAGAAAAAGAAGCTGCAGGATTTAATATGTAGATTTTATATTACATTCGTATATTTACATGTAAGGAGTGACTGCTAACTGATAATTGATAATTTTCTTAAATCGGAAGCCCTGTATATTATTTCAGAAAAGTTCTTTATGCTGATTTCAAAAATATATGCCATGTTGTAGTTATTTTTTCTATTATGGCCAGAACTAGCCAAAAATTAAATCGCTACTAAGTTAACCATTATCTTTTCTTTAATTATGGTTGTGGCATATCTTGAATATTATTATCGTTCAAAATTAGATAAAATTAGACTTGACGCTTGAAGAAGATGAAAAATACTGTCGTATAAAACATAGGGAAATGTAATTTTGCTATATGTAATAGTTTTGGTGGTTAACCAATCAATAATTTGTTGTTTTCTCCAAGTTGCAGTTGGACACCTCTTTACCTATCTTCCTATCCTATCTATCTTCCTATCTTCCTAGTAATAATTCGATTTCTTAGGTCTTCTACATTTTTCACAGGACTAACGTAAACCTAAACGTTAACTCTAGGTGGTTCCATGTGAAAAAAATCGAGAGGGTTTAAATCCGGGAATCGTGCAGGCCATAAGTGAAGTCCACCTGGGCCAATCCAGCGATTTCCGTACCTTAGAGCAACCTGACTACAATCGGCAGGTGCCCTATAGTTCATAAACCACATTGAATTTCTTATTGTCAATGGTACGTTCTCCAGATATCCAAAAAGTTGCGATACAGCTCTGAGGTAAGTTTTCGTGGTAGGTCCAATTAGGCAGTCACCCACAATTCCAACCAAACATTCAACGACAAATTTATTTGTTTTTATTTAAATTTAATCTTGTTAACTTTAACATACATACAGGGTATTTTAATTTGATAGAATTTATTCACTGTCTGCATATATAAAATAAAATGTTTACTTGCATTATTCATATTAAAAATATTTCTTTATATTTACGATATTGTTATAATTTTTTGTATATACATATATATATTTTTTAAAAGTCAAATAATTCCACAATCGCCATATATAGAATAGATATAGAAGGTGGTAGACTAAAGGCATAATATACAGGGTATTTATTTACAAATTTCGAAACTCATACAATTAAAAAGACACCCGGTATAATTGTAGACTCTAAAATCATGAAAATTCATTATACCCAAGTTTTAGAATGCTTCTGCGAAAACATTCAATGTTCTGTAAGCTTTATCTTTACCTAATATTTTTCGCACAACAACTTTTTTGTCCCAATACGCGAAATGTCAATAAAAATCAAACGGCATTTTATTGTGTGCGCGAAAATACGAAACGGCGCGCGAAAAATTCGACAAAATTTAGTTCCATCCACGCTTACGTCCTATCGATCTCCCTGTTCGAAAAAATACACGCGCTCAGTTTTCTACTTTTATACAGCGCGCTATCTGTTAGTCCGGGGAATTATATTTTCAGTTCGTCCCGCCTAACCTTTTCGAACAGGCTATGCAGGTGGGCCGACGCCACCCGACCCGACACGATCGCGCCCGACCGATTCAAACTGGTCTTGAAACTTGGCGTATTTTCCATCGCGCTCCAGTGACGGACGGTGCTCGGTTGTTTTGTGTCGTGCGTTTCTCCAAGTATACGCTAATACCGTTGATGTACTGTGTGTTCCGTTTCTACTCTTCGCTCATTCGACTCGCATATTATTATTGAGATGCCGGTTGACGCGACAATGTCGCCGTCCAGCCCCAACAATTAACGATGTGGTTTGGAACTCAGGTAAGCGTTATTTTGTATTTTCCCGCTGAATTTCCGCGGCCGGTTCATTGGATTCGATTGGACACACTGCCTATTTCGATTGTTTTAAATATGACCGTGCTTCGCCTCTTGTTATAAATTAATTCTTTGGGATGAAGATGCACGTGACCTGAACGTCAAAGTCGGATCCAATTGCTTCTTCTATCGAGACACACGTGTTTTGTTTTGAAGCGAGCGCGGCGATTTCAATGTGCATTCAAATAACTGTCAGATCGCGCGCGACAGATGTGACGTCACTCATTTTTAATGCGCCAGCAATATCAAAAGGTGCGAGCGCCGCTAGTATTGTTTACTTTTTTTTTTTCGACGTTATATTCCGGTAACTTGTGTGCGTAGTATTTTTTTTTTGCGAAGTAACGAATAAGCGAAATCGAGGCGCTCGTCCGGAGAGAGCTATACCGTGTGTTACGCCCACAGTTGCCATGGCTACACACCAACGCAAAGCCTCGTCAAACTATAACTCTCCCGTTCCCCCGAATCGATAAATAGCGTAACGTGCCCCCAATTTGGGAAATTTGTTGCCGGCTTTTGGTCAATGGGGACGACAAGGTATCCAACGGGGCGGGTAAATCTCGCTTGAAGTCTGGCGTAGCAGTTCTGTGAAATCTTTGTTTTCTGTGGAGCTCATAAAAAAATTTTGAAATTATTTTTAGATTTTTAGAAATTTTTGTTATATTCCAGTTGCAATCCACAAAGTTACTTGGCGCTTTGAGGTTATAAATCATATATTTTTTATGGCACATACGATGCATTTTTCAGAACAAAATGGGCTTGATTATTTTGGTGGTACTTTGTTTTTAAGGTTGTTTTTTTTAATTTTCAGACAATAAACGATAATTTTTAATATCTGGTGTTAAACAGCTAAATTTTATGCGGAATTGCTTTTATCATTCATATAATAACTTTTGGGTGTATAAGGAAAATTCATAATCCCAATACTAAAAAGGAAGAAGTTATATTAATTTATGCATTTTCCAAAACTACTTTCTGTGCAATTCTCTTTAGGGTAAATTTAGGTTACACATTGAGATACAGTTTTGTAAACAAATTGTTTGTTGGTATATTTGGGAGGCGAAAATTCCATCTGCAATACGATGAAGCAATGAACCTGTCTATACAATTTTTCCATTTAAATTTTTAAGTCATCTGTTATGATTTTAACTTTATTTACATTTTTCATAGGCGTTAAACGTATAAGTTTATTTAAAAAAATGCTTTGCAAGTAATTTTATAGACAAGTTGCAATATTTGCAGATATAAAGTCTGTTCATAGATATAAGAAAGTGACTAACTGATACGAATTAAGCAAAGACCCGGGCAAGCTGTAAGAATATGGCAGAATAGGTCCGTACTTTGCTTAGAATTTAATTTGGGGGTTTTGTTAGGAAAGATACTAAACAATATTTATTTATGTATTTATATTTAAATCTAAAATAAAATTACAAATTGTTTTTATTACCTACTTAATTGTCAGCATCGCTTCTTTTTTTCCTGGCTGAAATGGGATTATTCACAATTTTCCATACAGTTCATGTTGGAATTTTCGTCAATGTGGCCGTTTCTTCTAAAGATGCTTGCTTGCTGGCACCATGTTCAATGAGAATCAAATAAATATTATTTAAAACTTCCTTAGTCTCAATAGAATAGTGTTTTCTAAGCAGAATTATATATATATAGAAGTTAAAGAAAAAAATGAAAAACAAAATTTGACAATATAAAAAATGTTTAAACCCGTTTTGAAAACTTATGGAATTTATAAAATTTATATTTATTAATTTAACACCGACTACACTGCTCACGTTTAATTTAATTGTTTTTTAATTTCGAGGGCATACAAAATTTTTCCACAGTACCTAAAAATTATTTTTCAAAATTGACGAAATACGTAAAATTTTAACGTTGTGCGAAATCTGGTGTATCAGTTTTATATGTTGGAATGTAGGGAAAAATTGATCCAGTTAAAATAGTAAATAACGAAAATTGCTGATTATTTTCGAAAAAAAAAATCGGATAAATTCCTACAGTGTTGTCATATTTGTAATGAATTTGGGGGAATTTGTGGTTTTGGTTAGAAAGAACTGCTGCGAGTTTGTAAAATTAATACACGAAGAGGACTATAAAGGAATCATAAATGAAGTTCTGGAATAAAGTAATACTCACTGATGAAAGCAAGATTAACGTGTTTGAATCGAACGGTATTGAAAAGTGAAAAGGAGAAAAACAGGAGAGGCATTAAATCCAAAAAATACAATGCTGTGGGAGTATGAAGGCATCAGGTAATTTTGTAATAATTGAAGGAACAATGGATGAAAATGTTTACCTAAATATTTTAAGTGAAGATTTGCAAGAGCGTGCACAAAAGCTTGGGTTAGATGGTGACCATTATTTCCAGCAAGACGACGACCCAAAGCACACTGCGCATGTTGTTCGTGTTGTGTTGTGAGTTACAATACAAGGCTTGAAACTCATCCTCAAAGTCTGGATCTCCATCCAACTGAGCACTTGTGGGATATATAAGGAAAAAGAATTCGGTGTCATGACATAACCAATAAAAATAAATTAAGAGAAGATTTATTAGATGCATAGAAAAAAATTAGTGGAAGAAATAACATAGCACAAACTGGTTTTATTCTATTAATAGTTTTTTTTTGTATGTCCCTGAACTTTTGCTGTTATAATTTCTAATAATTTAATACTTTTCAGAAAAATGTTTTTCATTTGCTGCTATTAAACCATACTGAACTTTTTTAATATTTTTTATACAAGCCTTTTCAAAAAAATTGTTACTATGCCCAGCCTTTTGCTGGCTACTGCAGGTAGAGGTCGTTTTACCGCTCAAAGAACAACTTTCGCATCGGGATAGTATATCTATTATATACCATTAAAGCCGCATAATTGGATAACGTGTGCGCTCATAACCGCTATGAAGACAATGAACTTGAAAAACAAATATTATAATTTAAAACCGGGCGACATACAAACACGGGACGTCACGCGGCGCTTCGTCATACGGTTCGATGACGTCACCGCATTTATTTTGTCCCAAACGGCGATAAACGCACGATGAATGGGCGTCAAAACGGTTAACGGGAACAAAAATAATGCGATTTCGAACGAATCGCCTTTTTAAAGGATGCCGCGCTTGTTATTATCGGCAGCGATCAACGATTATTACATTGTAATAGGTTAGGGTTATTATATTGTTACTTACGGGCCGGCAGTTAATTATAAATACGCACACTAGATGTGGTGGGAACGCGCGCGGATCATTTTTATGTAAATATGTCGAGATAAAAACGTTCCATTGTTATTTATTTGTGTTTACGTTTTTATTAGACCGGCGGAGCACGCTGCCGCCTCGCGAACGCGATTCGACGATTTGGCGGCCAATAAAAGCCAATTTTGTGAACCCAAATTTCGTATTCTACTTCTGACCGCGATATGCCCGAAACTATTTTTATCAAGGTTAATATCGAATTTTCTTCAAATTTCAAACATTAAAAATAATCGGAATCGCATTTTAATTTTGTATTCCTACAAAAATTAGAGCGTGGAATATACAGCCCAGTGAAAAAACAACGTAGTTTTATAGTAATTATAACGTATTAATACAACTTGCAACGTAAAATACAACAATGTCGTAATATAAATGAATTTCACCAATTGTTTGTGACAATATTCCCTAACTCTTATGACGCACGGTAGGTGTAGGGCTAGGTGGCTGCCTGCCATATGAAAGGTAAGGGACGCAATCGGCACTCATAGTCGCACTGTGGTCGATTTGGCAAAATTAGCAGTACTAAAATCAAAGTTATGTGGATAATGACATTTGTTTGTTTTAATTAACTTCCGTTTGTTAATGGTAAAAAATAATAATAAGCGCCTTTTTATAATTTTTGTACAGGGTATAAGTAAAACATACCAAAGCAACCATAAACCTATCATTTTTAGACAACGATTTACAATTATTTTTTATTTTATTTAAATATAGATTTAAGTAATTTATAATTAGAACGCAAAATTTGCGAATACCTCTATAAAGAATAAAGTAATTAGAATATGTAAAAGTATAGTATCTTTTCATTTATTTAATCTATTCAGGATTTCTCAATAAACTTAAATCGTCATTTTTAACAGACAATTTTTGTTGAATCAAACCTTTGGTTTTTTCGCTTAATATTTTTCGAGTATTTTGTTCTCGATAATACATGTATTCATTATGCAGAGCCTCTTGAACATCTTCAGACAGCTGGTCGATGAGTAAAAGTAATGATTCTGTAACATCAGCCCCATCAATAGACATATACAGACATATAAAGCCAAGGGTAAAGTCTTACAAACAGCTTTGCAGTTTCCAAGGTATAATTTCTAAACTAATCAACGTCAACGTGGTAATCACTTGGAGAATAATGGAAAAACATTGAATGCGTGCCTCATTAACCCGAGTGATTTCACTTGCTTTTCAGCAGTCTTCAAAAAACCTGCGAGAGTTGTTTCTGTCATTGATATTCCTATATCCTTGATTTGCACTGTCAACAAAAGGACCCAGTTCTGACTTAAGAGAAGATATAATTAATTTTTTTCTTTCTTCAAATGGATTTTTTTCTGTATCTTATAAAAAAGTTTCTTTAAATGTCCTCATAAATAAAAATGTAAAGGATTCAAGATAGGGGATCCTGTGGCCATGCTACGGGCCATATGTTATATGAATACACATTCTATTTCTCACTGCAGATCATTCCTCAGAAAATTTAAATATGACAAATGATTCAGTCTGGGTGAGAGAATAATTGGACCAATACTTTGATTTCTAATAATACCGGCCCAAATATATAAAGAAAACTAATACTGCAAATTTGCTACTCTTAGTAAATAGGGATTTTCTTCTATAAGTTACGAAAATTTATAATTCCCTTTCTTGTAAATGATGCTTCGTCTGTAAAAAGAACATGACGAGATCT